TGCCACAGGGTGATAAAATACGCCCAGATTCGATTTTTCTTACAGTTGTTCGATTTATTCCATAAATTTGGTTGTCTCGAGCATTTCATCAGTTTCCTTTAAGGAGAATCCTCAATAAATTTTCAATAAAATATTCTTTTTGCCAAGAAAATTTTGTCGTAAGAAAAAAAATGATGATTTTTAATAATGGAAAGAGCGATTCAATATTATTATTGAAGAATTTTCCAAGTTTTATTTCTTATAATAGAATTTTGGTAGACCGAAACTTCATCCAATCGGAGCAATTGGATGGTACAATAAAATTTTTGCCATAAATCACAATTATAAAGCGCTAAATTTAACTTTATGTCCTTACAAAATGTGTAGTGGTTCTAGAAATATAAATAAACTTTTATCTTAAAAAATTTATGTTTTTAAAAAAATATTATATATATATTTTATCCTTAATAAATATGCAGAACAGAAACTTCGGTAACATTGGTTAAATCATTAATAGATAATACTCGTATAATCAGTCGAAAATAATATAAGATGTAATGTTGTTATATTATTTATGATTAATTTATTAAATAAATCGAGTAAATTTTCTGATTGGTTGATTAATTAATGCCATCGACGTTTGCCTGTCCGGATAAAACCCGGACAATGAATGTCACCCGGAATAGTAGTAGTGAATTTAGAAGGCTTCTCTCACTATACAGAGAGGGAGTAATCTCCGTCCAGATGACAAATCCGCCCAGCTCTTCCTGCTTCCAACTCACAGCTCAGCACGGACCAGTGTCACAATTCATATCACTTCACACGGGTGTAAAATCTACTTATATGTAGATTAGTTGCAAAGATAGGAATACTACGAGTGGCTGCTATGGCAACATTTCGACGATATTACTTTCATCTGTCGGGTTTTGTGGACTGTGAAGTCATGTTTACGCGTGAAGATATCGTCAATACTCGTAATAGTCATATTTGGGCATCGAACAAACCATGCAACACGTGATCTAGTTGGGCTAGAATATCTGGTGTGGTGGTATTATTGGCGATATCCTAGTGGAACAATATCTTCTTCTGGAAAGTCTCACTACTGCAAACTACCCAGTGTTTCTACGTGTTCTACTGGAAGACGTGCCATTAGCTGTTCTCTGCACCCTATGATTCCAGCATGGAGCACCGGCCCATTATGCTAGAAATGTTTGCTGGTGGTTTGATATAGAACTTTCCAGTTGATGGATGGATTTACCGTGGTCTATTACACGGTCTGCTAGGTCACCAGATCTGAACCCTGTGGACTTCTTCCTGTGGGGTCATCTAAACGCACTCGTATACCGACGCCCATTTACGTCTGGACGGCCTATACCATCACCACAACTGTAACCCGATATGCAGCAACACAGATGTATGTTCGGTGATGAGCTGCAGCTTGTGTCTCATTACACTATGCTCATTTTGAAAATACGCTATATTCATGCAGTCCGACGTGTTGTGGCATTTCAGTTCTAATGTTAAACAAATATATGAATAATTTATGTGTATGTAATGTCTATATTCTTATCAGATGTGATATCACAAAACTATTCGCGCCCATATCTCCGGAATGCACTGTCTTATTGAAAAAACTACTATAAGTTTCTGGTTTGGTCTTCCACGAGCAATTGTGCATTGATCCTGACCAACCTGTATATTGGAACAGAGACTAGAAATCATATTTAATATAGTAAGTTAACCAAATTCAAATAAAAAATTTATTTATTTCTGAATTCCTTAAATTTTTCTGTACAAATTTCTTGCATTGACATTTTTTGGAGAATAAAAATTTAATAATCATCTGGAGGTAGTGTATAAATACTGTATCTATAACGACTGAAGATATTTATTGGTACATTAAAATTCCGTAATGCAACAATATATTGTATTGTAATATTGTACACTGATTACATTATTATATTATATTGGTATTTCATTAAAATATACAATTTAGTTTGTATGAAACAATGTTTGTACTAAAGAAACAAGTACATTTAAAGTGATGTATATAAAGAAGTGACAGACCTAGTTTAAACAACAACAATAATTTCATGTAAAATTCCGTAAAAACTGACCCATCTAATAATGTAAGCTATTCTAAAATTCAAATTGAAGTTAATATCCATATCCAAATAAATGTTAAGTCAGAAAAATCTTGAATTTTGTAATTCATTGCAATTTAATGTACAAAATCATTATCATCAAGGAGATATTATTTAAGTTTGTATGACTAACCTTTACAGAAGATTCCTGAATGGATAAGTGGTTAAGATGGCAAACTACTGCTCTAGGCATCTGGGATCGAATCCAAATGAGTCCCATACATCACCAACTGACTGTCCCATGTGGACTTGGCCAAACACAAAAGACTGGCAGAAAGGTCCTCTTAGTGTCCACAGGACAGAGTTAAAAAAACAGCCACACCTTACAATGACATTGAGTCATTTGCCAGTACAATAAATAATAATCATTATTTAATTATTGCTATTACCAACACGGTACATATTCTATATTTGATTGTTTGTTTATTGTCAAACAATAAAGAACCTAATGTATATAAATATTAACACATACTTTATGTAAAGTATGATTCTAAATGAAAAGAATTTAAAAACAAAAGTCAGGGAATACAAGAATTCCTTGATTATCACAATATAATTCACAAACACAGAAAAAACAATGCAGTTTTATAAAAATCAAGTACATTATATTTTTAAAATAGAAAGAACAAGTATGATATCTTGGGTAACAGAATTTTTTACAGAATAACTTTGTACTGTAGTAATATTTTATTAAATGATAAACGCTATTAAATTCTACTCAACTTTTTTAGCCATTCATATCATTCACCAGATAAAAGCACATATGGGTCTTTCAAAAATAACTTATAGTTACAGTAAGTTATCTCTTACATACCCGAATTAGGCAACTTGTAAAATAAGGCACGTTTGGATGAAAAAACATGCAAGGAACATTTTTACTAACTGTATCATTGATTGTCATTTTCCTTAATTTGCAGGATTTATAACTTTTGAATTATACATAAGAAATGGTAATTTCAAATAAGAACATACTAATTCAATTACAATACAGTTATTTCACCTCATACACTTAAAAATTATATTACAGTAGACTTTGCTTATTGTAATCACTTTATGCAGTTTGGGCATGTCCTAATGCTATTAGTCAGATTATTAAGTGAATGAAATCACAATTTCCTATAAAAAGACATATTAAAGCAATTTAAAAATGCATGACTTGAAGATAATTGATAAGTAATTCATCTAGTATTAATACTTGTCTTAATCAGTATTATCAGATGTGGCTGATAACATGAAATCAGTATTGATTTAATGTTATCAGCCACATGTTAAAGCTGCTAGCATGAAAAGAAAGCATAAAAATACCTATTTACCTAAATATGATAAGAATAAGTGACATTTTTATAATGTTTTAGAAAGCTTTGCACCCTGACCATAATAGGCAGCCCAACTCCCCATCCACTTTGCCCAGTCCTCTCATGGACTTCATCCACTTGTTCTCCATATAAACTATTCATAAAAATTTTGAGAATATGTATACCTTCATCTGACTATATATTCTGTACATAGATTTTTCTTTAATATCCCACAGAAAAATATTCTAATTTCATGGTTTGTTTTTCTTGCTCACTTATTCCCAAAGGAGGCTGAATCATAATGAAATTTTTGTTATGATTCAGTCTTCCATAAAGGGCCTAATCCTCCATCACTTTGCTTACATGATCAAAAATTGTGTGATGATTCATCAATTCTCAGTGCTGCTGTTTATTTTTTTTTTATCATTAAAAAAAAAAAATGTCTCCATGATTTTAAGCTAAATATTTTATATGTGAAATAGATTATAACTTGTATGTTTCAGGACCTGTTAATTTTGATAAAATTATCCATGATTGCAATGAGCAGAGACTACTGTTCTTAAAAAACAACAACAACAATAATAATAATAATAATAATGTATGTATATTACAGGAATCATACTATTTACAATAAATGCATATTATAAAATAAATCAGTTACTTTTGTACAGAAATGCCCATGCATCAGGGCACTTTGTACACGTGCTCTCCTTTTTGTCTGTTATCCCTTTTCCTAATCTTCAAGGAGGCCCCAAACAATAGAAAATTATTGACTTCTAGCCTATTCTGCAAATATAAAAGAAACTAATAAATAATATTTGTTCATTGATTCAGGCAACTTCGTCACATGTCGACCAAAACCCTACTCCTTGTTTTCAAGTCCTGAGTGCAACCAGTGTCACCTTGTGGGAGTGCTGATCCAGCATTAAATCAGTTTGAAGCTCTCTGCATAATGTACAAAATCCTTTTTTATAGCTTGTGCTCCCCCCTTTATCATAGTCTGTGGGCAATGCTGTTTTTGTATGTAGTCAACATATAAATGTATAGTATACACTGACTACGTACTGACTGATAAAATTACAAATTTTTTAATATGTTTGACTTATCTTAAATTGTGTTTGTGTTGTAAACTTACTTTTGAAAAATCTAAATATATAAAATTACTTGTCCTGACTGACTAAACAAGTGATTGATTCATCATTGCCCAGAGCAAACTGCTGAACCTAAAGAGGTGAAATTTGGTACACAGTTAGGGTATGTCATGAGAATGCACACTAAGAAGGGATTTTTCAAAATTCCCCCGGGGAGAGGATTAAAGCTTAACCTAAAGAACGGCTTCTACTGTACTATTTTAGATGTGATTTTTTGTTTTCAACTACGTTTAGTCTTCATTGAGTTCTTAGGTGTATTAAATTGATAACATTTCAGACATTGTTATAAATATTTTTATATATTTCGACTTTTTAACCAAATGTTCAAACCGTTTTAAATTCAAATTTGTTATTGCATATTAGTTCGATTATAAAACGATTGTAAACATTCCAAAAAATTTATCAAATTGAAAATAGTTCGTTTGATTCTCAGCAATTCTCAACATTCTCAGTGGTAGGTGTTATATAACAATTACTATGGTTGTTGAAATACTGAATATAAATGGGGTTTGCTTGCAAAACCCTGCAGGCGAAGTTGTGGGTAACAGCTAGTCTTGCGTATATTGCAATCCATTTATAACATAACTTTCATATAACTAAACATCAACAGTTTTGCTAGTATAAATTATAACATTTCTAAAAACAAAAAAAATCTAAAACATAAACATAATAAAATAACTTAATTTCTGCAATATCATAATAAATGTTTTGATAACCTATAAGCTGAAAAACTATATACCAATTTTTAGCATATTATGCTTAAATATAAAATATTTTACTTTGAAAAAACATGAATGAACCTTTGCCACCATTTGGCATGACGTGGTTTAACAATCTGTGAACATTCCCCATCATTAGGAACTAGAAGTTCCCTAGATGGAACTGAGGGCGATAGATTCTGTTTTGGAAAAAACCTTGAGTTCTTTGTGTTAGGATCATTTTCTTTATCCTTTCCTTTACATGTTTTTGATTTTCTTTTTGATTTACTGGAATTAATTTGTGTGTTAACATTGCTTCTTGAATGTGAAGCAATGGAACGCTTTAATGCAACAATGATATTGACAACAGCCTTTGCAACATCATCTGGCGATGCATCTTTTTCAGATAACACCGACCAATCTTCTGGGGATACAGGTGGAGGAATCTAATAAGAAATTTATTTGATATTATATTACTTTGTAATGTTACATTTTAAATGTTATTTTAAATATATTCTAAAAACTTACTTCAAATATTTTAACTGGAACTCCATATTGCCCCCCTGCGGCACATCCAGTAGATATGATTGGAATGACAAAATGATCATTCCAAATAAATTCTTCTACTTCTCTAGCAGCACCCGGTCCACCTGTAAGAAGCAGCTTAATTAGTATATTTTAATGTGGTTTTAAATGTCAAGAAACAAATTATCATGAATAGTAAATTAATCTATATATTTAATAGATTAAAGAAAATCAAAGAAATTAATACTACTACATAATGCATTATTCTAAAAATAAAAATGTATATACCTTCAACTAGGATGCATGTATCAAAGAGACGTGCCACTGCTGATTCTCTTTCTTTTACAGAATCTCCCAGGAACATAGTTTTACCATAAGAAATTATTTCAAAACTACCATCTGGATGTTGATTTGCCTTTGATGTAAAATCCTTAATATATAATTAAATATAATTTTTTAAATCAAATTTCTTTATAATAAAAATAGATATAATATGATGAATTTTAAGTATTTAATTATAATTCTTTAATGATTCTTATATAAAAAAAATTGAGAATTTTATATTGTTTTGAAAATATATTGTAATTCTTGAGAGATTTTTAAAAATTAAATTAATTTTTATCAATTACTTTGATGAAAATTATTTTGACAACAATACACTACTTCCAACTTTCTACTAATGCCCTCTATTTATATAGCTAACATGATTGTTCAGAGGGTGCTTCTTAGCTCATGAATGTGCTATCACTCTGATATTCTGATCATTTGCAAATCATACCCTGCTTTTTATTTCCTATAAGTTTCAGTTTATTCACATGATTCCTTCAAGGTGTTGCAATTTTTACAAACATGATTGTATAATAATGTCCTTATTGTAGGGGCTAAAAACAAAAGTTGTAAAGGTACACCTATCTAACTTGTTCCAATATTGAAAAAAGTAATATTCCCAAAATTTGGCTAAATTTATTTTAAGCAAAATACAAGATAAATTTTAAATGCTTAATACTGTATTAAATCATAATTTCCATGTTACAACATCATAAGAAGGAAAAAACATACAAAAATACTAACATAGTGGAATATTAATTGTTATTTTTATTTTTCTAAATATTTTTAAAGCATTGATTACAGTATAAAGTACTTCAAATGTTTTCACTCATGGATATATCATTAGTGTTTTATGTCAAAATAAAAACTATTACATAAAATTTCCAGGATAAAATTGTTTTAAGCATTTAGACAATTAATTTTAATAAAGAAAAATCAAATAAAGTATTAAAGTATTAAAATATTAAAATTCTATCTAGACTAAATTCTTCAATACTTAATATCAAAAGTTGGAGTTAATTTGTTAAAAAAAAAAAGTACATAAGACTTTAATTAGAAAATTTATCTATGTACTTTAAGATTAAATTATATATACAAATCTCATAAAAACTTTATTATTCAATATATGAATTCAAGAATATTATTATTAATTATTTTTATGTAAGAAATTTTTGCATTCATATATAAAAAAACAATTTAATCTGTTCTTACTTGAGAGTCTTTAGTTGGTAAAATATGAACAACTGGAGAATATTGAGGATTAGATGACATATTTGCTGCTTTTAGTTCATAAAAGGATTTTGCCAAAATATCTGCAGAACCCAGAAATCCTCCAGTTACTACTCCAATATTCTTGACCTTTGCTAATTCTCTTGCAATGGCTCTAAAAAATAACTATTTTTAGTTACTTAATAAAGTAGTGTAAAAATTAATTTATATTCAAGTCATGTTACATTATAAGTGAATATGCATGTATAACAATTTTTTTGAAAAATTTTTATACATGCATTAGGACTTGTATCTGCTCATTATGTACAAATGACATTACTATTCATATCATAAAAACTTTAATCAAGTTAGACTTCTGAAAAAAATAATTTTTAGAGTAATTTGTATTTTCTGCAAATGTAGTAGGATATAAATTTAAATTCATAGTACATCAAAATCTAACAGCAGTTGTTTTGAAAATATAAAAAGTACCTGCAAATTTCTTCGGAACGAGGATTCTGCAATTTGCTGCTTCCAGTAATATAAACACATTCGTCTATTTGAGGTAAATTTTTTTTCATAAAAGTAACCTAGAATTAAATACTAAGTTTTTATCCATGAATCATATTTTTTATATTATTAATTTTTATAACTTTTACCAAAAATTGCATTTTGGCTTCTGCTGTTGCTTCTTTAGATGTCTCAGAATAAGCAGGATTAAGTGCTCTTTTGACTTTAGCTCTTAATGCTAATTCAAATTGAGTATTCCCTAAATACTGAACAAAATATATATAATTATTCAAAATTTCATTTTTTAAAATATATAATATGTAATATTTATCATCATCAAACATTAATACTACAACATCAATTGTTACTTTGTTATTTAATACAGGTAACAAAGCCTCCTAACCTCTGAACTGTTAACTAAGCATTCATCTACATATTGAATATAGATAAATGATTATTATTCATATGACCTCCTATATAGAAGTTCTCATATGAAAATGATTTTTATTCCTCAGAAATAGATTCACATGACACTTTTGAGCCTAAAAATTTCATAATCTTAAAGAATATTCTCAATTTTTTTATTCTGTAAATTAAATATGATGACAACAATAAAATAAAATCAAAGAAATTCACATATGCTACAGTCAAGATAATGATGTGAGTATATAAAATCATATAATTATCTTTATGCATTGTGTTGGGCAATGACAGGGCAGTGACATCAAATCACCCAATCACCATTCTAATGGACAATATTGGGAATGCATTAAAACAATGCCCAAGTGCTGCTTGGGTAATGATGTGAGCCATCATGGCCGCCATTGCACTCCATGTAATGTAACCTTATTTTGTATTTTTGTTACTTTTGTTTCTGTTCTGTTCTTTAAACTTTAGATTACATTATTGGAAAATGGAAGTTATATAGTGAGTTTTACAAATTAATAAGTAAGAAGAAAGAAAACAATAAGTTTACTTGAGTTCTAATAAATATGCCAAAAATATTGAAAAAGAACTGTAAGATAAAAAAAAAGCATTCCTGCCAAGCAGTAGAAGAGTGCTGCAATTCAGTGTCATTCAAATCTCAGTTATTTGAATAAATATGACTGAATTAATATATACTAGACTTTATTTATTTATCCCATAGGCCTATACCATCTTATTCAGAAGGTAGAAAAGTAATATATGCAATATACTAAGCTTTATGTCCTATTTAAACTTCATATTCATTCTGTTTTTAAATGATATAACTCATTTGGTCCTCAGAAAATAAATATATTGTGTATTCCTGTATTGTATAACTAAATAAACATCCTTAATCATAAATGTGTTTTACTCCAGAAAAAAAATTTGTCATAACGATATTCAATAATGATCAATTGACTTCCATTAATGTCAATGCCCAGTCAATGTCGACAACACATACCTCAAAAAAACAGAAAAAGAGCTAGTTTTTTTTCAGATATTTAAGGCTGAATATTTTTTGATCAGTTATATTTCTATATCAAAGCTTAAACAATAAAAATAATAACCATAAATTTTTATTTTGAATACAATAGCTTTCATCCAAAATTTAAAGTTTAATTAAATATTTACCGTGATCATGTCATTTCCCATTAACTGTGTAAACCACGCTGGTATTTGGCAATTATCATATTTCAACAATACAACTTTTTTTCTATGTTCACAATAGAATACCTGCATAAAAGTTTATCATAAAATCACTTATGTATTGCCTAAATTTATACATTTAAATAAAATAATTCACTAATATGACTTATTCAACCAACCTGCTGTTGTGATGTTTTTGATTTTGTATACGAATCTGAGACAACCACTATTACTACACCAGCCTGATCTGTTTTCTGTTGGAATAATTTCAACCTATCTAACTTTTCCGGGGTAAGAGAAGATACTTGACTAATGTCACTAAGTTGGGACAAAAGTCTTGATAATGGTCGGTGACCTATAAACATAATAATTTAAATTAAGATAGATATCATACAGAATTAATTTGAATAAATAATTTTTTAAACTTACTGGCAATTTCAGTGAGGACCTTTGTTCCATACCCATTATGGGTTCGACCGTGCCCATAATGGGGCCACAGGGTGATAAAATACGCCCAGATTAGATTTTTCTTACAGTTGTTCGATTTATTCCATAAATTTGGTTGTCTCGAGCATTTCATCAGTTTCCTTTAAGGAGAATCCTCAATAAATTTTCAATAAAATATTCTTTTTGCCAAGAAAATTTTGTCGTAAGAAAAAAAATGATGATTTTTANATTCAACCAACCTGCTGTTGTGATGTTTTTGATTTTGTATACGAATCTGAGACAACCACTATCACTACACCAGCCTGATCTGTTTTCTGTTGGAATAATTTCAACCTATCTAACTTTTCAGGGGTAAGAGAAGATACTTGGCTAATGTCACTAAGTTGGGACAAAAGTCTTGATAATGGTCGGTGACCTATAAACATAAAAATTTAAATTAAGATAGATATCATACAGAATTAATTTGAATAAATAATTTTTTAAACTTACTGGCAATTTCAGTACCTTCGTGTCGAAATACAGATGAAAATTGTTTGCTCTCACCAATAGAAACAAATGATTCACCTCCAGTCTGACTGAAGAATACTTCTCCTTCTGGAATAGTTGGCAATTCACGTGGCGTCAGTGGATTTTGAAAACCACCTTCGCTTTCAGATATAGGTTTCGTATGACTATCAGAGGTTTCAACTGAACACCAAACTTGATAACCGTATCTGGTAAATGTAGCTTTTAACTCCTTAGCCTATTACAATAAAAACATTTAATTCAAATATTAACAAATTTGATTTAAATTCCAATTTAATCAAGTAATTAGACTAAAAACTTCTTTAAAAATGTAAATATTTTAAAATTTAAAAGATAAATTTTCGCAGTCTTTAAAATATTTAATTATGAAATGTTTTCTTTAATGTTAAAACATTTCACAGCATTTTTTTTAAATTCAATTATATTTATTCTACTAACATCATTTCATCAAATATCAATTTAACATTCATATTAACTTAAAAAATATTATTTTAATACTGTGGAATAATTTTAAAAATATGAGACTTACTAATATTCTTTGCTTAGGATGAACACTTATAACAATTAATCTGTTTTCTTCTTCTGATCTTTCTACTTTAGGTGGATTTTTCACAGATGATGACAATGGAGTAGCATCATATATTCTTGTTGATATCTAATATATATAATTTACATTATGTTTTAATTGATAACGCTAACAACAACAACAATAATAAATATCTTTTACTTACTTTCTTCTCAGAAATTTTACAAGCTTGATCTCTTTGAAAATGAAGTGCAATTTCATCTGCTACTCGTTTGACAAATTCTGGTTCCCACNTATATATAATTTACATTATGTTTTAATTGATAACGCTAACAACAACAACAATAATAAATATCTTTTACTTACTTTCTTCTCAGAAATTTTACAAGCTTGATCTCTTTGAAAATGAAGTGCAATTTCATCTGCTACTCGTTTGACAAATTCTGGTTCCCACAATCTCATGTTTGCAATTTTTTCAGATTCAATTTTTTCTGGTAAATTTAAATTAAAAATGTATTTATTTCTGCATGGAATTTTTAAAATCTATATTCAAATTTCTTTTCTACTAATCAATTAACTTGCAAAAACATGGAATTATATTAAATAAATATTAATGAAAGCAATTGTTAGAAAACAGTTTGTTTAAAAATATCACCAAATCTCACCAGTGGCCAAGTGGATAAAACTACCAAACACAGGTAGTTGGCCATGGATTAAGGCCTTGATAACAGGCTAGCAATGTGGAGTTTTCCACGTTTTCTTCACATTTGTAACACCTAAATAAGAGCCAGTTTCCTCATAAAAAGTCAGGAGCCATCGCCCCTTGGCAGATCATCTGTTATATTGCCATATACAAACAAAAATAAACCAACAATCATCAAGTATTAATTTTTATCTACTTTTAAACTAGAAGATGTTATTAAAATTCATTACATATTTTTCAAAGATTTATTTAGAGATGCATTACATAAATCTCTATCAATAAAAACAATTATTGTATTTATTATTAAATATTCTAAGCAGAATGTAATAATAATCTTATTAAAAAATTTGCAAATTGCTAGCTGAACTATTCCTCATGATGTTTTACTTTTGTAAGGCAGGAACAAGTTAGTCAGCAAAATTTATAGGATATCAAAATTAAATTTAAAAATAAATAAATATATTAAAACTCATCTGATCTTAGCATCTAAATAAAGATTATGCATCTTTTTTTCACTCAATACATGTAGCATCTATATTCAATTTTCTGAATAATAATCAACTTTATTTTAAAAATACTTTTTATAATAATTAATAATGGTCTGAACCAATTATTTATTAACAATGTTGAAATTAAACATGTAGGAAAATTATTCATTCTTACTAGAAATTTACTAATAGATATTTACTGAAATTTAGGTAGTATATTTTTTGGTGAAAATGATACATGTAAATATAAAATTCTTTTATTAACTTCAAACAAGATTCAAACTTCTTAAAAAAACATTTTAATTCTAATATAATAAAAATGATCAAAAAGGAAAAAATAAAACAATGAAAATATTGTTTATTAGTATAATAATAATAATTGGTGTTAACTAGTGATCCTTGTTAAACCAATTGTTTAGTAGAATACTATCTAATAATTCTAAATAAAAAATTTAGAATATAAATTAATTATAATACAATTACATTATTTAGTAAATTATGCATGATATTTTAACTGATATTTACCATGTTCGTTATCAAGTAGACGATATGGTATATATTGTGTAGATGCAAACTGTATTGCTAAACATTCTGGTGGCCACTGATCTGTAAAATTTACTGGAATTATTAATTTTCCAAGTGTGTCTGCCAATTTTACCTACAGTAAAACAAAAAATTTATATGCAATATTTTAACATCAGGTCTTTATTTCTTCAATGTAGATTTACCTCTCTGTTTGTCCACTGTGTTTTTCCATACATTGGTGTAATTAATGGTACAAAAATATAGCAATGTCTAACAGCAAAATTTAAAGCATCTTGCCAATCACTCCCAGTTTTTATTTCATGAACATCCTGTTTTAAATTTAATAAATTAGATATATATAAAATTAAATGAGAGAATAATATACAATTCTTAAAATATTTTTATTACCAAATATACACTGAATCCCAAAGTACACAACTCATTTTTTAACTGTAGAGCATATTGTGCTGCTTCAGCTCTAACATAGCTGAGTAAGATTGGTTTAGCAACAAGTTCCTTTCCAGTGAAACCTCGTCGATAGTCTTTTCCTCTTCGTACAGATAACTGTCTAAAATCAATTCTGAAATCACAGAACATACTTTTAAGTATTTAAAAATTAAATGTTTGATAAATAAATAAATTTAACTTTTATTCACTGATAGGTAAAAACAACAATAATTAAAAATGAATTAAAAAACTATATTATGCTTCAGTTTTTCTTTCAATAAAACTTACATTAGTAGTAATATTAAAAATTTTTTAAATTTATTTTTTCTAATATTTGACAATTTCTACTAAAAGACAATTACAAGTATCCCTTGTTTAATGAAGTTTTGATTAGCATGTGAAATTAATTGTGGCAATCCCTTTATATATGAGGAAAAGTTTTAATTTACACAGTTTTACCAGTTGTCTTTACTTAACATTGATACTGATACCATATTTTGATATACGAGGTAGGATTGAGGAATTAATTAACCATATTAATCAATGGGATACATGCATTAGGAAAAATCAATAAGTATTTTTGTTAAAAAGTCAATTATATAACCATACAATGATTTATGAGTAAAGAATTCTGCAATTTTTCATAACAATAATGTTATTTTTAAACAAAAAACACATTAAAGAATGAAATAAAAGTGTAAACCTTGCTCTTTCAATAGTTCAAAAACTTGATTAATTATGCAATACTTTTAATAATATGTAACACTTAATGTTTTAAAAAATTTTACTTTTTATAATGATCTTGATAATTAATTACTTATATGAACTTTTAAATTCATCTTTTACAGATTTGGAAAAAATAAAACACTTGAATAAATTATGAATGTTGCACTAAAATGTGCGAAATCATAAGGAATTTTGATTCTTCTGGATGATAGATACTATTAGATAACAAGACATTTTAAGATCAAAATATCAGTGTTTTCTACAATTATCACACCACTTTTGTTAATCATCATGCACATGTATTGTTTTTATCTTTTCCATCACATAAAATCAGTCATTTCTAATCCATTCTTTCCATAGTTTCATCCTAGTACGTATAAACACAACAGTAACAATGAATATCATCTATTTGAATTTATTTACTCTTGTTCATTGTTTTTCAACAAAATTTTGAATCAGTAATAATGAAATATCTGTTGAGATGAGATGAAGTGGATCATCATCTCTTACTGTGTCACTAAGATGATTATTCTGTTGACTAATCATTGGATCATTACATATACCTTATATATTATTTATCAGGTTGGCTTCAGATATTCTTACATTCAAACCATTATGTTACTATTTTCATAAGGTATACACAGTATTTGTTAAAAATTATAATTTAATGGTGTTTTAAATAAATATAGCATGTCCTCACTTAACATTGTTGATCTTAGTTCTTAGAAATTGCAAGATTAAGTGAAATTACATAACAAAACCAATTTTACTACAGGTTAAATCTTATGAACAAGCTATAATTCAGTTAATATTATAAAATTGGAGTGTGTTTTAACCTCTGATACTTTCCACCTCTTCAATTTTACCTATAAATGGTAAAATTCAACAACAACAATTGTAAATGATAACAAATATACTTTTATCTTTCCTCAATGACTGTATAATGAAACAACATTAAGCAAGGACTTGCCACAAAGATTAAGAACTTTCTAATTTATAAATATATCTATTTATAATGAAACTTGTAATTACAGATTTAATTCATAATTAATAATACAAGGTTAAATGGTGATTCCTTTTCCAACAGATTGTGTCGTCAATTTTAGTTTTAAAATTAAATACCATCCAGTAATATTATACAAAGATTCATCACTGGGGACAGCTGAAAATCCACATTTACCAGTGCATGCTTTTATTAGATATAAAGCTTTACAGTCCTCATGTGGTCAGGATGGAATGAAAGATGTTTGTGGCATTACCAGTTATAATTTTAAAACTTTGTTTTTAATTGGACATTTTTCATTGTTTTTAAAGGAAAGTTTTGAACTTTTGACAGCCATGTAGCATACAGAAAAAGGTCAGTCATCAAAATATTGTATTCTGAAACACTGAAAGTACATAATTGACAAAAAACTGGTTTCAAAATAAAAGTTACAAATAAAATAATTTCTTACTGTATACTATTGAATATATTTTTAAATATTTGGAATATATTATGAATAAATTCTTAAAAAACAATATTGCAAGTTATGTACAGTAAGTTAACAAAAAACTACATAAATATACATACTTTCCCAATTTCCACGATGGTTTTCTTCCTACACCATCACCATCTACATTATCTTGATTTGAACTGGGCTGGATATCCATTTCATTTGTAGTTGGAGATAGAATAGCACTATGAAGTGGTTTTGAATATGATACTCCCATTTTATTATCATACTGAATACAAAAACTTTGACCTATTAATATATCCATTAATGTCAAAAAGCTTTCTTGCATCATAAGAACAGGCCATCCGTTTCTCTCCATAAATTTATACTCATATTTAATAACATTGGCTTCATTTTTTAACTGAAATTGTTTAAATTTAATATAAACTTATATCATAATGATAATATTTAATTTTATATTTTGTATCACTTAACAAACAAACTAAATCTAAGGAAATAATATTTCTTTGATGAAACATTAATATTAGATTGGTGCATAAATAATTGTGATTTTCATTATTTTAAACTTTGAGGCTTATTTTGGGCTAAAATTTTATTTTATCACATTAACATAATGTACGATTTTAAAGCAGAATGTCCCTCTACAGATTTATGCTAATGGTTTTGTTTTCATATTTATTCTTGTTTATTTTATATTGTCAAATTAAAGCATGAAAATAAAGCAAATTCAAGCAATTTTATTGTACAAGTTCAAATTGGGGCATTAAGCAATATAAACTGCACACAATATAACCCAAGCATTTGGCCAGGAGACAATCAGTGAATATACAGCTCAACATTGGTTTCATAATGAAGACAAGAGCCTTGTAAATGAGGAAGGTCATGAATGACCATCTGAGATTGATGGCAACCAATTGAGGGCCATTACTGAGGCTGATCTCCGCAAAACAACTTGAGAGATTGCAGAAGAACAAAATGTTAACCATTCAATAGTAGTTTGACATTTGCACCAAATAAGAAAATAAAAAAAGCTCAATGAAAGATTGAACAAGCTGAATGAGTTTCAAAAAAATTGTTGTTACAAAATCTGCTCTATGTTTCTTTTGTGCAACAAAAATGACCCATTTCTTGATCACATTATGAGAAATAGATTCTGTATGACAATTGCCTGCATTCTGCATAATGGCTGGACCGAGATGTACAACTAAAACACTTCCCCAAACTAAAGCTGCACCAAAAGAAGGTTAAGGGCACTGTTTGATGGTTGGCAAATGGAATTATCCACTACAACTTCTCAAATCATGGCAAAACTATCACAGCAGAGAAGTATTTTCAGGAAATTGACAACATGCACCATAAACTGAAACATTTATATCCAACATGTGGTCAATTGAAAAGGATCAATTCTTCTCCATGATAATGACCAACCATGTTTCACAAATGATTCTGCAGAAATTGAATAAACTGGCCTATGAAACTCTACCTCATCCAGCTTATTCACCAGACCTCTCTTCAATCAATTATCACTTTTTCAAGCACCTTCACAACTTCTGCAAGAGAAAGTTTTCAACAACCAAGCAGAAGCTCAAAATGCCTTTATATAACTTATAGGTTCCAGGACTTCCAAATTCTATGCTACTGGAATAAATAGAATTGTTACTTGTTGGCAAAAATGTATAGATTTTAATGGTTCATATTTTGATTAATAAACTTTATTCTAAGCTCACATATATCTTTTAAAGTCAATGATTGAAAACCACAATTATTTTTGCACCAATCTGATAATTTGTTTCAATTCCAATTATTCAAAATATGCATTGCTCTCTGTATATTAAAAGAAAAAACCCCATAACCCCATATTTCAAATATGGGTTATACTATATATAATATATATATAGGGTTTTATATATTTATATATTTTTTTTTATGTATACGTATTAATGTTCTCACCAGAAATTTTTAGGTGAAATGTAGAAGTAGGTGTGCAAAAAAATTATGCAATATTTACATGGTTTTTTAGTTGCTACTCATTCTCTTGATAGATTCTTTAGTGATAAGCATAAATTTTGCTGAAGAAAACAAATATGATTTGTTCTCTTCAGCAAAATTTATGCTTATCATTAAAGGATAAAATTCTCTGTTATTTGGAAATATAAGCTCTCTCTCTTGACAGACAGTTTTTCAGAAAATTTTTCCATTCTGTTGAATTCATACAAATTTCATCCTGGATGTTTCTCCTCCTCCTGTTTCCATATACCTTATTCCCAGGTCTTTCTTTTTTGATCTTCTGACTATTTGTGGTTTCTATTCCATGGCTATCCTTTGTAATTTTTATCTTCACATCATATTAATTACCTTTCTTTTATTTCATTAATAATTAATTCCTTCATGTTCATCACTTCTTTAGTTTTTCAGTTTTTTTTTCATGCATGAATAATAATCTGAATAACCTTGTCAGTGCATCCATTTCAACTGCACTTAGCCAGCTTTCTTTTTCTGTTTTTGATATTCCCTACATTCTGGCTCTACATAATATGCAACAAATATTTCACTACACTGTTACATATATTCCATTTTCTTTTTTGAGATTTTGACATTTCGTCAGATTCCATTTAGCCTTTTAAATTGCCTTTTTTTGTTTTGTATTTTTCAATCCTCTCCCCCATTT